CGTTGGCAGTTTTTTATGGGGGTTTTCTTCTTCTACTACTATACTACTACTACTATACTACTACTACTACTACTACTACTACTACTACTACTACTACTACTACTACTACTTACTACTACCACTACTACTACTACTACTACTACTACTACTACTACTCCTACCACCACTACTACTCCTACTCCTACTGCTACTGCTACTGCTTCTGCTACTGCTACTGCTACTGCTACTGCTACTGCTACTGCGACTGCGACTGCGACTGCTACTGCTACTACGACGACGACGACGACGACGACGACGACTACTACTACTACTACTACTGCTACCACTACTCCTTGTACTACTACCAGTACTGGTACTAGTAGTAGTGCCAGTATTAGACACACAAAAGCAAGTACCATGAACGGCGGACGAGCACACAGCTACGACCAACTTATGACCTTGCATCTCGCCATCATCATCAGCAGCAGCATCCCCAGCGTCATCATCATGCTCACCATTATGGCATCAGCAGAGTCATCATCGTAATCAGGATCTCCGTCATCATCAGCATCGTGATTTACGTTATCAATTTGATTCTGTGTTGCGTTGCTTGCTCGTGGAAGGAAGGGTGTCGTCATGCATTTGGGGTAGGTGCCCGGAGAACAGGTTGAGGAAGTTTGAGGTTTGAGTGTGAATAAGCCTAGAGGTTGAGAGTTTATGGGCTTCTACGGTGATGTCGTTAGCACTGCTGGAGGCCCTCCCGGTTCGAACAATCAAGGGTTGTCTTGGAGTTCTTAGCTTTCGTTGCTACAAAAGGCTCTCCCCATGGTCAGTCAAGTCATAACCCGGAACATCGCAAGTTGCAGGCGGTCAGCTCACGCGACGAGGCGACATCTGTGCTTCTGAGATGGTTCTGCGTAACTACTCTTAGTACGACGGCTACGGTGACTCTTCTTTCTCGCACTAGTTTTTAGACTGACTTTCTATCCTTGTACAGCATCTCGCGGAACAGTGCTCTCCCGATGCACGTTCCGGAAAGCCCTTCCCAAGCGCTTGCACAGGGCAGGTTCTCGGTACATGACTTCGATTATGTGATTTTGATGTCATCTAAGGCATGTCTATACGTGATTGTATATCATCCCATGTCGTCCTCAGCTACGTTGGCAGTAGAACGAAGTGTTGAGACTGGCCTTGAAAACGGAGGCAGCCCATGTTATCCTGCTACCCGCAGGCCATGCAAGGCGAGCATAGGTCCAATCTTCATCACACCTTGCACTGCAAGCTCACGGTCGGGGATGTTTGAATTCAAAGTTCGGGGCTCAGCAGTCCCGGCATGCAACACAGCTCGAAGCCCAACACAGCAGCTTACTAATTGGATATGTGAGATCGATAGAGTGCAGGGTTCACTACTTTGTCGACTTCGAGCACGGTGCTGCCCTGTTTGATGCCGGCACCAGGTTGAATTTCAACCCTTGCACTAAGTGCCAGGTTTATCGTCTAAATTCCCGTCTCGCCGCAAAGCGGCTGGGTGCGCAATGCCAGAGAAGGGAGAAAAGGAAAGAATGCCTAGCCGATCACTCACTTGCGTAACGCTATGCTCCGAGACGTTTAAAGAAGCCTTTGAGGAAGGCGTGGACTTCCCCGTTGGATTTGGCGTTTGACGGTTTATGACAGGACCGCGGTGTGCACGTCGGCACCCAATCCGGATGAGACTCGCCTTCTGTGCTGCTGAGCGCGAAAAGCGCGTGCTTGCTGCCTGTGAGCCCCAATTGCTCAACTGGTCAAGCGAACAGGGCAAGAGCATCTTTGCTAGGTTTGAACCCTGGCCTGTTAGCGAATTCAAGGGAGTTGCCGCCTTGTGCCGGCACCAGGCAGCTGCATTTTTCCTTCGGGCTTTGTGGAGAATGCAGCTGCGCTGCCCAAGTGTGCAATTGTCTAGTTTAGTTTGAAGGACCGGCGGCTGCCCTCAGGACTTGGGGGGACTGCAGAGGGTCCGTGCCCTCTTCAGATTCAGCGACTGCCTCGCAGTTTCAACTGATTGACTTGCGGGCTGTGATGGCAGACTTGTTGGTTGCATGCGGGGCGGTGGCTGTTTCGGAGTCCGATGCTTTGAGGAAGCCAAAGGCGTCCCGACTAGACGCAGCATTTCGAGTAGATGCAACCCTCGCGAGAGAAAGGCTGTCGTGTTGCACGCATCCGCAGCTTGTCCTTCGCACAGCAAGTTCCAGCTCCAGAGCTTTAAAGACTAAAGCAGTCTTTCAAAGTGCATCGGCAGCTGTGTGCTCAGTTCTCAGACTCAGACCCCGGAGATTGCTGATCCAAGCCGACAGCGACAGGAGAACAAACCAGTTCACGACTTAAGCTGACCTCGATGCTCCACATCTCAAAGAACCGCTCAACCATCCGAACGACCCAATGAGCGTTGCGATGAACGCCTGCCTCACGTGGCTGCTGCTTCAGGGAGTTGGTGCTCCGGAGATAGGGAGTACTGCAGAGTAATGTGCGGGAGCATAGGCACGTAATATGTTGAAGGATCGAAGTAGCATGAGAACACGAAAGTATAGTTTGTGTATTATATCAATGTGTTGGTTTTTTCTCCACAGCACCAGACAGGTGCCGTGCCACAACCTCATTGGCCCAGCAGCTTCCGGGCGCTGTACTCCTCGGAAGACAAGCAAACTACAGGCAGCAGAGCAGTTGAATTCGTGTCTTCGAGCTCAGCGTCCCAAGTCCCAGATCGTAGTCCCTACAAGCAGAAGGCTTGCAGTTTGTTGTTAGAGTCGGAGCAGCCAGATAGCAAGGCTCAAGTCCGGGTACGCTGCCCTGCCATTGATAGAGTTTCAGAGTTTCACGCGTGCTGCGCTTGCAGGCTACTACGCCAGTGTCACGTTAGCCACGGTTGGCGCGTCTCGAATCACCTTCGCAGATGGCAGTAGAGGCAAAGCGACTCCTTTCAGTGGTGTTATTGTTCAGGGCTTGATCCCTTTAGGGTTCAGCTTTGTGAGGGATTAATAAACTAGTTTTATTTTTTCAGTACATATAACTGTCATTATGGCAGGTCTTGTTTTGTGAGTCGCTTTGACCTGATTGCCCAGATCATTTGTGCTCCTACTACCACACCAACACTTCTTGTGAGCAACTGATCCTCGGACAGCATTTTGCCGCGCAGAAATCCGAAGAGTCTGGGATTGCTTCGGAGACGTTTCCTAATCCTTTCTGTGCACTTCTGCTTCTGGTTGTCCTGGTAA